CGCCTCCGCCGCCCGCGCCATGGGCCCCGGGAGACGTGGTGGTCTATCGCCTCGAAAACCGCTGCCGCAAGGCTGGGTCCACCGTCTCCTGCGAGGTCTGCGTGGCATGGGCGGACAAGGGCACGTCTGCTGCGTTCCTCAAGACCTGCAGAGGGGTGCCGACAGCGGAGGGCTACTGTCCGAGAGCGTATACTTTTAACCTGAACGGCAGGCTGCGTAAGTTGCTGTAGGGGCGGCATCCCAAGATGGGGCTTGCGCTCACCTGGAGGTGCGAGCAGACGAGCAATGGGGCCGAATCCCCCGGGGCAGCCAGCCGCCGACGGGCGATGCCTGCCCCGGGGGCGATCCGCACTCGCGTGCCCCCAGCGGGGAGGGGTGGCCGACGCCGCGCGGGTTGCGTGCAGTGGAACCTCCTGTGGCAGCAGCCGACGGGCGGGTGCCCCATGCGTGCCTCGGGGGCGATCCGCATCTGCATGTCCTCGTCGGAGGAGTGGCCGATGCCATGCAGGTGGGTTGCAATGGAGACCCTGCCGCTGGCCCGAGCTCGCCAGGTCCTCATGCGGCAGCTGGTGCCGCGGGGACAGCCACGTTGGCTGTGGCAGGCGTGGTCCCTGGGGAGGGCGTGGTCGATGCCCACTCCACTCCGCTGGCGACGGAGGGCCCCGCGCCGCCGGCGGGCGGGTGGTCGATGCCACGAGGCCTGCCTCCCAAATCTGGATCAGCCAAAGAGGATGGCAACTTTTTCGCTTTCTCTTTGCAGTTATACAACATGAGATTATATTGAATCTAATTGGGCTATACTATAATCGTGTAATATAACATAACTCTATATAGTTCAGCGTGCCACAACAGAATATACCACAGTATGGTATACTTTGTACACTATAATACAATATATTAGATTGAAATATACTATAATAGTATACGCGCACACACACACATATATATATACACATACATACAGGCCCCCTGGAGGTCCCGACCCCTTCCCCAAGACCGATTTTTTATCCTGAGTCGTTTCTGACGGTCCCGTGGCCCAGCGAAGTCCCCCAGAGGCTGAAACTGGTAAAAAACCAGCCGCCGCGATATCGTGGCGACGCGAACATGTCTGGGAGGGGGGCTGGCTGACCCCCCTCAGCGCTGACCCCCGAGACGTGCGCAGCGGCTTGGCAGGTCGCCAGTGGCGCATGGGAGGAGTGCATCGGCCCGCATCGGCCCCCAATCGCCCACTGATGTTGTCGAAAGGTGCCTTGCAGCCCTCCCCGTCTGAAAACGTGCGGACCCAAACATGCGACGTCCTGATTTTTTCAGAACGGCGTCCCTGGAAGTCCCGACCCTTTCCCCGGGACCGGCTTTTCGTCCCGAGTCGTCACTTGACGGTCCCGAGGCCCAGCGAGGGACTCCCCGAGGGCCGAAACTGGCCAAAAACCTCCCGCCCATTCTCTAAAATAAAAACCAGCGCGAGCATGTCTGGGTGCGGATTCGCCATCGGGGGGCTCTCGCCGATCATCGGCGACGCATCGCCGCTCCAAGCGATTCCAGCTCGAGGTCCCCCCTGCGTGCCCGGCCTTGGCCCCCGGCGGGCACCCCGCGGCGCAAGCGCAGAGCTCGCGCGCCGGGGGGGCCAGAGGGCGGAAACGGCTGCTCGGCGGGCGGCTGGGGCGAGGGAGCAGCAGGGCGGCGGAGGAGGCAGAGTAGGGAGGGAGGGAGGGACCCAGACGTGCTCGCGACGTACAAAAAACGGAACGGTTTTTGGCTATTTTCGGGCCCCGGGGGGCCCCTCGCCGGGCCTCGGGACCGTCAAACAATGACTCAGGACGAAACGCCAGTCCTGGGGAAAGGGTCGGGACTTCCAGGGACGCCGTCCTGGAAAAATCAGGACGTCGCATGTCTGGGGAGGGAGGGAAGGCGAAGTCGAATTCAAGCAACTCGCACGCCGTCGCCGAAGGTGACGGCCCTGCGGGCAGGCCCTCTGTTTCGGTTTGCCCCTGGGGTCCCCTGCGGGGGTGCCAGTCTCTCTTTCAAGGAGCCTCCAGGGCCGTGGCGACAGGGAGGGAGGGAAGGCGGAGGAGGAGGGCGGGAAGGGGGAGGAGAAGGAGGAGGAGGAGGAGGAGAAGGAGGAGGAGGAGGAGGAGGAGGAGAAGGAAGGGGAGGAGAAGGAGGAGAGGAGGACGAGAAGGAGGAGGAGGAGGAGGAGGAGGAGGAGGAGGAGGAGGAGGAGGAGGAGGAGGAGGAGGAGAAGAGGAAGAGGAGGAGGGGAGGAGGAGGAGGAGGAGGAGGGGAGGAGGAGGAGGAGGAAGGAGGAGGAGGGAGAGGAGGAGGAGGAGGAGGAGAGAGGAGGAGGAGGAGGAGGAGGAGGAGGAGGGAGGAGGGAGGAGGAGGAGGAGGAGAAGGAGGAGGAGGAGAGGAGGAGGAGGAGGAGGAGGAGGAGGAGGAGGAGGAGGAGGAGGAGGATTGGGAGGATTGGGATTGGGAAGAGGGAGGAGGAGGAGAGGGAGGAGGAGGAGGGAGGAGGAGGAGGGAGGGAGGAGGAGGAGGAGGAGGAGGAGGAGGAGGAGGAGGAGGAGGACGAGGAGGAGGAGGAGGAGGAGGAGGAGGAGGAGGAGGAGGAGGAGGAGGAGGAGGAGGAGGAGGAGGAGGAGAGAGAAGAGGAGGAGGGAGGAGGGAGGAGGAGGAGGAGGAGGAGGAGGAGGAGCAGAAAGAGGAAGGACATGGAGGAGGGGAGCATTCGGGGCCCAAGGGGGCCATCGGCATCTGAGAGTGCCAACGGGTCCGAAAATCTGGAACGCACGCCGCGAAAGCGGCCCCGGGAGTGGAGCGGCCGACCGACGACAACAGTGGGAGAAAGGAGGAGGGAAGGGGGAGGGAGGGGGAGGAGGAGGAGGGGAAAGAAAATCCTGGGACTTCTCGGCATGCGGTACGTTGGTAGCCCGCACCTCCGCAAACCTACACTCCCGGCCGGGTCACTGCCGCCCCCCGTCGCGCGGGACCCGGCTACCGGCATGCGCCCTGGCCGGAACAGCGCTGCCTTGTGTGGCATGGGACTCGGCCAGCTGTGCGCGGAGGGCCCGCGGCAGTGCTGGCCTACGCCAACCAAGGGGACGACAAGGCACCAGGCACCTGTATCACCCCGTGCCTGGCACTGGGCCCCGCCGCCCCTGGCCCGCTGACGCAGCAGCCGCCGCGGCCTTTGTCACAATTCGCTCTGACGGCATCCCCGTTTAAGCCCCCGTCGCCAGCACGTTCACCCTCTGCCTAGCCGCCGACGCAAAAACTGCATCCCCCCCTGCACGGCCGGCCAGCCGGCCGGCCGCGCGCGCGCGCGACGCTGCGGACTCGAGCGTCGCTGGCGGCCGTCCTCGCGCAGCCGTCGGCCGCCGGCGATGCTCACACCTCAGGCCGAGGCCGTGGAGGAAGAGCTGGCCTCTCGTCCGCTCTCGGTGCCCGAGGGCGCCCCGTGGAGGGCAGCAGATTTTCAGCACGCCTGGCAGGCGCTGCCGTAGAGCCCGCGTGGACCTCATGCCGCAGGAAGGTCAGGCCGCGCGCCCCGGAAGTGACGGCCGTCGGCCACGTGCAGGTAGCGCGTCTGCGAAGGGCCAGTGCTGCGAAGGTCGGGCCGCGCGCCCCGCAAGTGACAGCCGTCGGCCCCGTGCAGGCAGCGCGTCTGCGAGGGGCCAGTGCTGGAGACAGTGTAGTCGTCATCCACGCCGGGGTCTTCGTCGCCCACCCCCGCGTCGGATTGCATGCCAGGCCCGTCGACGCCAGGACACACTCCCGAACTGGGACCGTCGACGACGGCGTCGTCGCCAACGACGTCCTCGACATCGCGGGCCGCTGGAGTAGCGGCCTCCGCCTGCGGCGTGGGCACGTCCGCCAGCGGCTCGGGCGCTCGGAACCTCCCGAAGTAGCGGAGGCCCTCGATCGCGCGGCCTATGCGCTCAACGCCGACGTTGTGCTCGACCATGTAAGTGCGGATATCCGTGAGGTCGTCCTCGGCGTCGGAGACGTTGGCGCGACTCGCATCCCGAATCGCCGCGGGGACTCTGGCTTTCGGGAACGGCCAAGACGGGCGCGTCCAAGAGGGGGGGGGGGGGGGCGCAAATCATGGCCGGCGGCATGTGCGCGGCCCAGGGGGGGCCAGGGACGCATTGAAACAAGAAGAGGCGCTATGAGATCTGAGGAGACATCATGGCCCACGCCATGCTGACCCCCCCTAATCATCACCCCCCTCTTTGCCGCCCCTGATCGTCGGCACCGCCGGCGTGGCGCACAATGATGCCGCCTTGTTTTCTCTGGTCGGCCTCCCGAGGCTGCTCTTTTCCGGCCCGGGCACTGGCAACAGAACAGACCCGGGAGCAGCAGCCGGCCCACGGGGGAGCGGCCGAGACCTCTGGGCGAGCGGCGCTGCGAGCACACGTCTGCCAGCACACCCCCCTCTGATTCGAAGCAACTGGCAAAGGCCCACACAAATCCGTCGTGTAGTAAACCTCCCCCTCACCTGCATCCTCCTGCTTCGTGGACGATCCGCGCCTGCAGCCGGCGCTTCGTCTGTTCGCTTCCACGCAGTGAATGCAGGTAGGGTCGCACTCTGGTAAAAGGTCGTGCTCCTGGCCATCGCTCGGACGTCCATTTCCTGTGCTTTTCTCGGTTTCGTGCGTGGCTTTTTCGCCAAGTGGTCGAAGATGCTCCTCGAAGGTCCTCGCCGAGAAAAAAATGCACACGTCCGAGCGATGCCAAGGCTCGTCAAAGAGCTGGCGGCCAGCGCCCAGGCGGTGCGGGCGCACTCGCCGCGGCAGGCCGGGGCCCGGCGACCGAGGCCAGCCGGCACACCGCGCGGGAGGTGCAGGCACGCCCCCCAATAGAAGGGAGCACCGCCCGGTGGCTGTGCGCGGGCCAGAGAGGGGCGAGCTCTGGAGGGAGGAGCGCCTCCCTCTAGGGTAACGAATGATGACAGAAGCCTACGAACTCGGAGGTCCGTGCGGATTTCTGGGATCCGCCCGGAGCGCGCCAGGGGCGGCGCCTCCGGCGCCGCCAGGGGGCCCCCGGCGCGGACTTGAGAGCTCCGCGCGGGCCTCCGAGTTCGTATGTTTGTGTCATTCTCCGTTGCCCTGCTCTCGCCCGAGCTCCCCCCCTGCCCCCGCCGAGAAACGGGCAGCGTTTTTTTTTTTTTTTTTTTTTTTTTTTTTTTTTTTTTTTTTTTTTTTGTTTTTTTTCCTCGGGCCCGGGGCCACTGCTTGTTTTTTGTTTATCGTTTATAGTCGAAGAATCCAGCCGAGAAACGGGCAGCGCAGCTCGCCCAGCATCGCCTCCCAGAGCGCGGGCCGCGCCCGCGCAGCGCACCGGCGCGGGCCCGAAGCCCGAGTGATCTCACGTCGGCATCGGGATAAGTGGAGGAGGAGGAGGAGGAGGAGGAGGAGGAGGAGGAGGAGGAGGAGGAGGAGGAGGTGGCCGCGCGGGAGGCCGCCGAACTCCTTGAGGTGCGCGAGTCCCGTGCCAAGCCACTGCCCTCGTGTGAGGCGCGCGAGGAAGGCCACCACGGGTGGCCTGGGGGCTCTGGGATTCCTCATTTCTTCAGTTGGTGCCTCGACCTTTCCGTCTGTCACTGCCGTGGTATCCGTACTCTTCCGCGCTGGTCGCCGTTTCCGCAGCTGCTCCAGCTTGACGCAGGACCTCAAAGCAGGGCTCGTGGGCCATGCATTTTGAGTTTTGTCCCACATGTCCTGGGCTTCGAACTGTAAAAGGGCGTCGCGCGATATCTGACTTCGCAGTGAATCAACACAGGATGAGGAGGGGAAGGGAAGTGGAACTAACCAGTGACAATCGCACGAACCCTCTGCATTCTCTTCCCACTCCACCAAGACCACTTGCCCCTTCAGGGAGGCCGCAGATCGCGCCACCCATCGAAATACCATGTTACCTATCGGGGATCGTACACTTCCCACTCCTACCACCTCCACCAGTGCCGTTTGCACCTCCAGGGAGGCGGAGAGACCGCGCGGGCCATCGGAACGCCCTTGCTGCTCCACCATTCCGGCCAGTCCCATCTCAGGGCTCGTTTCGATTCCTCCGATTCGATTCGATTCGATTTCGATGGTTTCCGATCCCGATTCGATTCGGCTTGGGATTTCGACTTGGGCTCCGATTTCCCATTGGAGGCCTACGAGCCCGCCGTTTTCCGCCGATTCGACTTTTTCCGACTCGGCTGCCGACTTCCGCCGATCCGATTCAGTTCGATCGCCGATCCGATTTATCGATTCGATTCTGGGCTCTCCTGCGTCCGCCCCCTGGAGGCGGAGGACGCAGAGGAGGAGAGAAGACCGGGAAGGAAGAGCCTCTGCTTTGTCGCGCCTCTGGTCCGCTGCCCTCCGTGAATGCGCGACCCAACTGGAGCCCAAGTGTGGGAACTCTGGCGGCGCAGTGTTCCTTCGTCTGTGGCCAACCTCCTCTTGTCGTACCATCGTTGATGAGCCGCCGAGGAGGAGGAGGAGGAGGAGGAGGGGCAGGGGGAGGGGGAGGAGGAGGAGGAGGTGGAGGACCAATGCAAACCCAAGACTCATCAACGATGGTCGAGAGGTGTACGTGACTTGTCCGTGACACCTCGGGCGGTGCCGGCCTGGCTGCCAGACCCGAGCCCTGCCGTCGGATCCGCCGTGCTCCTGGTTGGTGGATCTTGCGACTTCAGGATTGAAAGGCCTCCTGGATGGGGGTCGGAGCAGACGGGGTCGGAGCAT